AGATCGCCTGCCACGCTTCCACGATCCAAGCGCACAGCATTTCCACAGGCGGCCTCTTAATCTTACCACCTGGAGTCAGCTGATGTTGTCCTCCAGCCATCCAGGTGGTGTACAGCCTTCGAACATTGTCCTTGAAAGGTTTATTCAAAGACACGTCCAAAGGCTGCAGTATCGATGTTAGGCCGCCCGGAATCACTGCCAGATCTGTGCGCAGCTCCTTTAGCTCATCTCGTACGCGGTCTACTAGGTGCCCACGAAAACTGTCCAGGACAAACATGGACGGCAACAACAGACCACCAGGCCGCCGACCCCAGACTGTTTTCACCCAATCCACAGTGAGTTCCGCGCTCATCCAGCCTTTTTCCTGGACTCTGACGTAGATGCCTTGAGGGAATTTCGCCTTTGGGAGCGTCTTACGTTTAAAAATACCTGCCGGTCTTGGCACCGCGGAAAGCCCGTCGTGTCTTCTTCGTCGCCCTAAGTTTTTCGTCTTGGTCCCTCCAGTACCGAATACTGGTTTCTCCAATGCCGAAATGCCTGCTTGCAGCCCGGTTGCCGTGCTCCAGCGCGTACTGCACTGCCTTCAGCTTAAACCCAGCCGTGTAGCTCGCGTACTTCCCCATGGTGGAACCAAAGTTCAATACACGACCACAACATACGCACACCGCTTGCAAAATGGCGTTTCTTTCTTTTTCTCTGATGGTGGTGATGGCGATCGAGCCCCCGGCGTTGTACACAAGCCTCCAAAAAGCGCGGCGATGTGGGGGGTATCAGTAATCGATGGAACAGCCGGTTTTTTTTTTTTTTCGCTCATGGACGCTTTTTTTTTTTTTCAAGTTTTATTTCGACAAACACGTTGGTTAGGTCGTTGCACTTCGAATTTTTTTTATTTGCTTGTCGATTTGCCTTCTTTTTTTCTTCAGGGTACAGGGACCGCGTTCCAACTGTACCGCTGGGGGGTAGAATCGTTTCTGATCACGGCCAAGTTCGGGGTACGCCTATTATGCGCGGAATTAAAAAAAAATCGAATTTTCCGCGACCAAACTAGGGGTGCGCCTATTATGCGAGTGCACCGATTATGCGAGTAAATACGGTACTAGACTAGTGTGAATAGTGAATTTCTGGTTTGAAGCAAACAGTGATATTGGTAAAAAAATTGCGCGTCAGATTCGAATAGTATATATGATATATAAATAAAAATGGGCACACTTATCATGACCTAACTAACTTGCACAATATTTTTTAAAAATTGAAATAAGGCCCCTATGCAAATGCTTTTTTTTTTTATTCAAAGGAAGTCTAAACTCTGAATAGTAGCAGGATTTGACTTTCAGTAGGATGCAAGTGATGACCTGGAAAATATGTAATATTTTAAAATTTATTATACTAGGAGCATACAAGCCATCCTAATAAGCTTTCAAGCTTTCATGCTTAAAAAATGATGAATTCATTTGGGGGTAATATGTTCATTTAAAGGGGCCCTGCAAAACTCTTTCAAATATTAGCCATGAAATGGATTTACTAAAGAAGCTTATTGCCTCATGAATTCACCGCCGTAAAAACTTTCGGAATCCACCCTGCAAGAGTGGAGTTGCAAAGATATGTCCCATGCTACAATTGCATTGTCTCTTCTCGTCCCGACGTAAGCGCTGGTAGCTAAGCAGGGCGGGGTGGCAACAGCACAGAAAATGCATCACGCGAGCCTCGTGACCTTGAGCCCTTTCTTCCTCTTTTTTGTTTTTCGAATATGCGACTTTTCACTGCGATGACAAGTGGCACATGAACAAGTGGCAGCCTCCTGCGGCTGCCCCAGTTGCCACTGAGCACCCCATGCTTAAATCAGCAAATGGCTGATACAATGGCTGAGACGAGTGTTTTGTGACCTTGTGGAGTCATTTGCCAAGAGGAGAGAGCGATTTTTAGCTGACTTAGAAAATTTCTTGTGAATTGCAGGCCACGAGCTGCGCTATAATATTTGGTGTGCTCGGTGGCCTCAACCACCGATCCGCAGCGGTTTCTGACTATGCTCAAAAGTAAATACCCTCTCACGAGGGCCTTTAGGGTTATTATGAATAAATAAATAAAATAAATATTACAAGGCCCCTCCAAATTTGAAGGAGGGCTTTGCGGCAGAGCGTATTTCCCCTTAATAGGTGCTTTCACGGCTTAGCACCCCCTGCACTGCATTGAAAACATCTTTACAGGCAGCTACAAACGAACTACTGTATACACGCGTGTAAGGGCCGCACCCGTGTAAGGGCCGCATCCCGTTTTTAAGAAGCACATATTAAAAAAAAAAAAGTTGTGTGTAAGGGCCGCATCCGCACTTTCCTTGACCCATGCGTATTCAAAATGCGCGCGCGTGTGTGAGCTACTAGGCGTTGTCAGTAGATGGCGCTAGAGAACGCAATTCTCATCATCACCATATAGAATAATTTGTTGGTTTTCTTCATGCTAATATGTTCATGAAGTTGGCTAAAAATTGCAAGTTTTTTCAGTAGTGTTCATACACCCGCCAACTAAAGGTTAAAGCGGGATTTTATCTTTAACTTCTGACACTTCTATACAAACGCGCTATCCATATCGGCATTAGCATCACCAACTTTGGTATTTGTGCGTTGTTCGGTCATTGTGCTGTTCAGCCTGCCATGTGCTCGAGTTTTGCGCACCGTTGAATGACTCTGGGACTCTAGCTAGTTTTCTGCGGGACGTTTACGTTTTGGCACGATGGGCAAGCAGCTGAATAGCTATACAGCTGGCTATAAGTTGAAGGTGATCGAGTTTGCCCTCGAGCACGGGAAACAGGCCGCGGGCAGAAAATTCGACGTTGACGAGAAGTGTGTTCGACGTTGGTGCACCCAGAAGAAAGCCTTGCAGAACACCAACATCAAAAAGCGCGCTTTCCTAGGAAAACAGTGCAAGTATCCTGATTTGGAAGAGGAGTTGCTCCGCTATGTGACTGAGGTGCGGAACGATGGTTTTGCGCTCACTACAGACATGCTGCGCATGAAGGCACTAGCCTTGGCACGTGCAAAAAATATAACGGCCGGGGATTTCAAGGCTAGTGCTGGCTGGGTGCGAAGGTTTATGAAAAGAAAAAGACTCTCTTTTCGGCGAAGGACCACGCTGTGCCAGCGGCTGCCAGAAGACTATACCGACAAAGTGCTTAGTTTTCACAAGCATGTCATCGGCCTGCGCCATCAGCACAGTTATTTGTTGTCGCAAATAGCGAACGCTGATCAAACTCCTGTGTGGTTTGACTCTCCCGAGAACTACACAGTCGAAGTAAAAGGCAAGAAGAGTGTCGCCGTGCGGACCACCGGCGCTGAGCGCCAACGCTGCACCGTGATGCTTTGTGTGACCGCGGACGGGCGGAAGCTACCCCCGTACGTTGTTTTGAAAAGGAAAAGAATTCCCAACGAAGTTTTCCCCAAGGGCATCATAGTTAGAGCCCAAGAGAATGGATGGATGAACGATGATTTGGTGCTAGACTGGGTGAAAAGTGTTTGGCAGAACAGACCGGGAGCTTTGTTGGCCAAACATTCACTTTTAGAATTGGATAGTTTCCGCGGCCACCTTACCGATAAGGTGAAGGAGCAGCTGCGCCGTGTCGGCACAGACATGGCCGTGATTCTAGGCGGCCTCACAGGAATGTTGCAACCATTGGATGTGAGCGTGAATCGACCATTCAAAGTTGAATTCCGAAGACTCTACACGGAATGGATGGCAACCGGCAACCATGAGCAGACGCCGACCGGACGGCTGAAGAGGGCACCGTTTGCTACTGTTCTCGGGTGGGTATTGTCGGCGTGGAGCTCGGTGTCAACGGACATTGTGTCCCGAAGTTTTAAGGTCACTGGGATATCCAACAGCCTGGATGACACCGAAGATGACTGTTTGTGGAATGATGGTGCTCCGCAACACACTATCTCGGACTCCGCGTTAGAGGACTCATAGAGTGACGACGATTAAGCGCACACGCGGCATACTGCAATAAACGCTCTTCGTTCACTAACTGGTACGTTGTTTTTGGTTCACCAAAAAAAAAGTTCCGTGTATGGGCCGCAACCAGAAAATTAGCCCTCACTTCCTGAAAAAAAAGTGCGGCCCTTACACGCATTTATACGATAATGTGCATTTATTTGTTCACGGCAAATACTTCGAAATTTTCAATAATTTACATTCGAATCAAAGCGAATTCAGATACTCCACTATTCGTTAGAATATTTGAAGCATTGGAATATTCACATAAGCCTAATAAATACCGTTCGGCCTCTGCATTACCTCATTCTCAGTAGGATAGCTATGAAACACCACCCTGCCAGTGCATCATTAACCAAGCCAAAGAAACACTTTAATGCTGCTATCTCATAAGAATATGCTTAGGAATCACTTAATTGCTTCGGTGTGCTTACAAGCACCATTTCTAACACCTGATACAAACAGCAGATGGCCTCAAGAATGCTCTACAGTTGCCATGCACCGGACAGGTATGTGGAGAGTGTGACACTCACGAGCTCGGGTCTCAGGTGGCACGAGCTTCGAGGATTTAAAGTATCCCGGAAGCGCGTAATGTACTCTGGAGCATCAGACGCTCGATTCACATCATGGTACAACACACATAGGGTGTTGCCAAGTCATGTAGCATTAGAGCAAGAATAAATCAGTTTTATTATTCAACTCTGCAGCGCAGCACTATGGAACAAAATCCTGTCCCAACTTTTTTCTGCCATGTCCTTTCAAAGTATTCGAAATAATTCTGAAAATATTGGACAAATATTCTAAAAATATTCAATTCGCACTTCGTCATTTGAATTCAATTAAATTTTGCTATCTGCACAGCTCTACTAATAACTTATGTTGGGAACTATCTGTCATGAACAAAAACTAGTGAACTTTTCCACAAGAAGCTTCTCTCAAATTCTTAATTTGTAAACAACAGCTTTCTTCTTTTTTGCAGCCCCCTCACCCCAATCCCCTTAAAATGGAGTAGTGCTTGCCTTTTGATTGTCAGTGCTCTCACGAAGATTGCGCATGAGGCCTCCAGTCTCATAGCGGTAGCCACAGGGAGCTGGGTAGAGCGTACGCAACAGGTGCAACATGCACAAGCTTTCGCCCGTGTTCTCACGTGCCTGCATCTCGCAGTAGACCACACCAGCATCCTCCCCTTCTCCATTCACATGATGGACCTCGGTGATGAAGGCTGCCTCCTGCAAATGCAGCAAAGCAGAGGTAGGACGAGGAATGGATGTATGTAGAACAAAAAGCGAAAGTCACCATGAAATGTCTCGCTCCAAGGAGTACCAAGGTCAGGGCATGTTGGCACTGGCTCAACATCCAGCTGTCGTGATTGCACCAGCTCTCCACACAGGAGAGCACGTGACAGTCTATGAACTTTGTAATCTTGGAGTCCATCAGTAGTGTGGGTGCAAAGTACGGGCAAGATGGCTGGTCGCTTCGCATGTTATTTCACCCCATGCACCTAATTTTGGAGGTTGCATGACCACAGCTTTGAACCCTTTCAGAGTTTTTGCCATATATATGCACAGCAGCACCTAACAAACACCAAAGGGTTTTTGCCATACATGTACGGCACTGCCTCGATGTTCAAAACACAGGCTTTTTTCGACCATTTCCCTTGCTTGGAAAGAGCTGCCACACTTCGGAAATACATAGAAGTTTTTTCATGCAACAATGTTTTTTTTTTTTCTTCACAAAGCGGCGATCTGGCAGCCATGTGCACACCCGAGCGCGTTTGTGGTTCAGTTGGTTTAAAACGAGCACCTCTTTTGGTTATTTTTCTTGTTTAGCATGTGTTGGCATGCTTTTGGAAAACGGAAGTTTTTTTTCATGCACAGATGTCTTTTTGTTGTTACTTTGTTTTATGCTTTGCCAGGTAGCACTCATAAAGTCGCTTTTACATTCGCGCGCGACCATGGTGGGGCTGGTTTAAAATGCGCAGCTGATCAATAATTTTTCTAGCTTAGAATGTGCTGCTACGTTTCGGGAAGAAGTGCACTTTTTTTAGGATGCCAATACCTTTGTGGCTTTCGTTAGCACATTCGAACGCACAGACAACGTGCAGCCGGTTTCATCCTTCGGGTGGTTATCACTTCTCGCGCCCGCAAAGCTGATCGCTGTCTGGTTTCCAATCTCTGAAAGGGTGACCTCTTGTGATTCTCTCGTTTATCGCTCACCGGGGTGCGCTGACATGTTTCTGTGCAGCACTAAATTACACAAACAATGCCACCATGGTTGCGTTTCCTGTTTTGGGGATTAAGAAAACTACTTCGTCTCATTGGCGATAAGACGTATTATAGCTTTTTAAATCGTTTTCCTGCCTGGAAAAGCGCACAATAGAGATATCTTCCGTGCGCTCACTTACATAGTTCGCTTATGCTATAAAAGCACATGCCAGTTACTCTACCACTAGCAGGTCGAGTGGCAATTCTTCCAATGTATTCTCCAAGTGCGGAATCTGATCCATTGGATTTCAGCTAATCAGACGAGAATTCACTTACGAGTTGAAGGAACAATATCTCGAAAGCGCACACATCGAAATGATTAAAATCTGATCAAAGGTGGCTATTTCCCAGTATTTAGTGTTACAGAAAAAACATTTTTGACTGGAAAAGTACTGTGGTGCACTTATTTTTGTACATTTGAGAGCAATGTTTCTTATAATGCGTAATTGTTACTTATAAAAAATCCTAACAGTGTTTTGGTTTAGGATTTTGCTTGATGTTACTATGAGTAGAGAATGTATACGAAACAACACAAAATAACTTTTTCGTCACTTTAACGGTCATCAAAAATAGTTTTAGACAATTTTTTTTCTTCAGTAGAATGGTCTGAAGTATTTCTTTCAGCAATGCCTAAAAAAAATTACACGTTTTTAGCATGCATTTCATGAAAAAACTTGACTCTGAAAGAGTGAAAAAATAATGTCAGGTATAGGTGGGTGGACTGGTTCACGTTGACCCAGACCTGAAGCGGCATGTGCAGTCTCGAACACAAGGAAATTAGTAATGTCCCTGAAATTGGTCTCTTAGGAGACATCACCAAAAAAAAACCTGAGATACCTCAGCAATGGCACTGGTGTCTTTGAAAAGTACATTTCTCAGTCTTGAAAGTTGTTTTGACTAGCCCCTCTTTCCAAAAACGACCACACAAGTAGACCAGCGAAGGTTTCTCCAAGGTCGCCAATCAGCTGCATGCGCCACGTAGCTGATGCAGACAGGAACCTCAAGCTAAATGTAGACCAAGTAGCCATGCTTTTTTTAGCTTTAGTGCCACATGTGTAGCCAAAACAAAAAACAGCAATATGACGAACATGAATGTTATTATTCAACAATAAGTTAGATGACTTTGAAAAAGCAACAACAAAAAATCACAATTCACAATATTTTTCATTCCCGCTGCGTCTCCAAGCCTCAAATAAATTAACAAGTTATAAATCCAGCGTGACTGCATGTAGGTTGTCTAGAACAGACAAAAGTCTTACCAAAATAGTCTTACCAAAGTACCAAAGTGAATTCTGATCGAAGATGAACAGTCAAGCTTCATTCTGTTGCCGACATCTCTTTGATGTGCTGTGTTTCAGTTTTACAACCCGGCATCAGCAGTGAGCTGTTGCCACGAATTAATTCACATGCACTTGTCACTCCGTCGTTACAGTCACGCAGCACATTACGTACTTACCCAGCCCAACGGCATGGGGAAGACATCAAAACAGGTCATTACAGAGAAGCTTGCAGCAATGAAAATTCGTTAGTCTTGCTTACTACATTAATTTCAAATAGTTAGAAAAAAAATGGCTAGCGACTGTGCCAAAATAAAAGCTCAGAGCAGCTAGAAAGTAGCCATGGCACCAATTTTTATGTTTCGTTTCCCGGCAGGGTCGTAAAGTAGCCAATTTCGCATTGGCACAATGTAGCCACCACCAGCAACCCTGCATGCAAACTTCCCCATTGGTCTATTGCTCGAATTCATGCGAATTCTTAAAACAGGCGCTATATTTTTCGCTGTCCACACTGATTTCACCATTTCCCATTGAAAATTTTGACTGCTTATCAGTTTGACAGCTGTAAACAGAAGTCTTTTACGCTATACAGTAGTACACTGATCTAGAGTATATATTAGGCACTGATTTGTAGTAGTCATCCTAAATTGATACTAAATTTCCTACTGTCAATGAAACTTCACTCTTCTCCAGTAAATGCTACAAATTTAATTAAACTTGGTCCAGTGGTTGTCTCATATACATTCCTACCTTTGCATGTATGTTTAAAAAAGAATTATGACGTATTGAGCCCTTCAAGACTACGCTTGCAGTAGGCATTCTAGGTAGTTTGAAACAGCCAATGTTACAAACACAGACGTTCCTTCCCTTGCAGCACGGTGTCCACCGAGAAGCGAAGCCAGAGTAGAGATTAAGAAGTCGATGCGCATGGGGCCCAGTTATGCTATTGCGTACTCTTGAAGGTTAAACGCAGGAGTCTTCCAGGTTTTTGCTGGCGCTGAGGTGTAGTTTTGTAGGCTTCACCTTCGAGGTCAAGCCTATATTCTCGACCTAGTTACTTCAGACAATTTTTCACAATAATTCATGATCCTTACTGAAATTTAATTTCCTAAAGCCAGTATAAACTTCCTTTCCTCAAGCAAAATGCTATAATTTTAATTCAAATCAATTCAGGAATTGTCTTCAAGTACACTTCTGCCCTTAAATGTATATTTAAATGTGGAAACCTACGTTTGGTCCCAAGCTGTAGCCATGCAAGGTTTGAGAGCAAGAATGATGGAACAAAGGATAGGGCAGTTGTCGAAAAAAAGGCAGGACTTGGAACTAGGTGTCAATAAAAAGGAGGAGAAATGTTTCATGATGGTGATGCCTTGAGGAGCCAACGAAACCAGTTTTAATCTTAACTGCAATGCGCATATGCAATAGAATCCATTTGCCAATCAGTACAACTTCCCAGATAGTGTTTTCACAAATGACAGCAGCGGTGTTGCACACAAGAGGGCTGCCACACAAGGAACAAAAATGAGCATGAAGCGTATGCACAACTACCCGAATTCGGCAATCAGATAACCCACGAAGCAGCTTTTGCTTTTTCTGAAAATGTGTGACATTATCAGGAAAAAAGGCCCAGTGAAAAAGAAGAACATGCCATTAGAACCCACACATCTGCAGCTGTGAGGCCAACAAATGTGGCGCACCAGCCAGCACAGCAGGCATGTTGCTTCTGATGCTACAACAGTGAGGCCTATCAAGCCACCTTACTCACTGCAGCTGCTGCAGAAAGTGTTCGTGAGCCCAGTGAGAAGTACAGTGGCACTTATCCAGCAACGGATAAACCAGTGCAGTAGAGTTAAACACACTCACCGTGAGCAAGGGGTAAAGAATGTGGTCCAAATAGATTGGCAACAGGTTGACGAACCCCTTGGAGCCAGCAGTGGTCATAGTGTAACACGTGTGATCTGTGTCCGTCCAGGCATTGGTGCCAGACGCCAGGCACCGGTTCGCCAGCTGGTCCAAGATTCCCTGCACCCCCGCATACATTGCAGCCACAGTTTTTCTGCCCTATTACTAAATATTGCATGCACAGCACATTTCACCACCTTAATCAAAGAGCCTTCTTTCTAATCAAAGAACCTTCTTTCTAGTCTGCATTTTTTGGGGGGACTTGCTTTTGACTCATTTGCAAGTTCTATGTGCAAATATGTACTATGCATTTGGTTAATAAAGAATTATCAGACTTTGGCTTTATTGGAAAAGGTCCACTAACTTATCAATTGTGATGTGGCATTGTTGTACTGCCTTTTTATCGTCGCATTTTTGCTACGAATATAACCTGAAATACATTGGGAAATTGAATATTCTGCAGATAACCTTGAATCCTACAGAGCTGTAAATTACAGGGAAGGCGAGTGTTCCCCTTGAGCTGCAAGTGTCCACAACAAGCAGCAATAATTTACTACACAAAAGCGACATCACAAAGACAAAATTAAAGTGCAGAGAAAACGTATCACTGTACTGGGTTTAAAGCATGGCACTTTCTCCTCCAAAACATTAATGCTTCAGTCAACAGCGCCATGGCAAGATTGACAAAATCAATTATACTACATAAACAATGGTTGAAAACGATACCTCAGGCACCCGTCAATTATCCTGACCTCATTTATATTCTATTTTGCGTTATTCTTAATCTTGAATTCTAAGCCGACCAGCTCCACAGCATTTATTACAAGAACAATGCTTCACTACTCTCACTAACCCACTTAAAGCATGTGATAGTAAGCTCATGCTTGTGATATTATCAGCACAGAATATCCTAATGTCCGTGAAATCACAACGGAACCATACAGGGAGCCAGGGTCAAAACTGTTGCTTTCCCAGTCTACTATGCCGCTGAAATTTTCGTGTATTTCCTCTTCTTTACATGTTCCTTGACAATTTTTCAGGGCACCGAGACATTTCACTAAGAGAAAAAACTACACCTCTGGAAAGTTTTTACTTTTTTCTAAATTAAGATTTAAAAAATTTCAATTCCTGACATAAAGAAAACAGAAAAAGCCACACAGCTGCTGCATATATTTCAACATTAACTCAATAAATAATAACTTTGGTCCTTGACCTCTGACAAAGTAGAGATGGTTTGGCTCAACAGTCATGGCACAGGAGCTGTGAAAGGTGTGCCGCTTGCCAATAAGACAGCAGACAATGAATAATTGCAGAAGTTTGCCAAAAGTTTAATACGTTTCACCCCGTATAACAAGCAGCCAAGAGCTTGACTTCAGGAGTAGCAGGTCAGTAAGCATGCCAGTAACCAGTCGAGTTAACACGTAGAAACCACAAAGCTCAACTTGTGCAACACAACCTATGCAGCAAACATTGTTTGTAGAAAGGCTACACATACTTTGTGGCATGAAAGTGGTGGGTGATGGCGAAATCACCCCATGGCCTTGACAATGGCAAAATTTCAAGCAGAAAAAGCCCGAGTAGTTGATGAAAGTTTGTAAACTACCATAAAATCCTGAGAAAATGCGCCCCTATAGTGAAGATAATCAGTAAAAATTTAAAGGTGGGGCCCTTGCACGGTCATCGAGCAAAATTTAAGATGGCAGAGGAAGAGCTGCTAAGAATAAAAATGCTTTATTGAATAAGCATATATTCACTGTTTCCAAAATAGTGAATGAAATAGTGAAAGTAGCTAGACAAGAGGGTAAGGAGCACTTATTGCTAATCTCTGGAAAAAAATATAGGTGGGGGGGGGGGAGGGCTTGCTCAGAATTTCACAGTAGTTTACGCGTGTCTGGCTGTCACTGTAAAAAAAACAATTAACTAGCACTTCTGTACTTAAATGCCTCAATAATAGCACTTAAAATTCACAGCAACACTAGAGATGAAACAATGCATCTTTTGCAAGTATGAAATCCTTCATTCCTTTTTTTTCTTAAGTTCTGGCTATTGTGTGCCGATGATGTGCATTTTATGCCAATTTCACAAAAAACGTAAAGCTACCAACTGTCCTTGGGGCTGGGAAACAATTTCGCAGATGATGCTACAGTGCAGGTCAACACCCAACTTCGGCAATGTGAGAGCAAAACGGTGAAGAATGTATGCAGAAGCCAACAATATGCCCACATGCAGCAAGCTATACTAGTATATCTTAACACATAGAGCCAGTCGTGTTCTGTGCACTCGTTTTGTTCAGCAACAGCCCTGCCAACCACTACATCAAACAGTACGTTAAGATATATTTCAACACAAAACCAGTGCTAATACCTTGTAAGGGTAATCTTCGCTGCCCATGAAAATAAGATGTTCTAAGGTATGAGGCAGGCCGTCATCATCTTGAGCTTCGGTTGCTGGATTAGAAAAAAGAAGTCATGCTACTTGCAACATGTGAAATGTAATAGCTTCAAAATTCTCTAATGGCACAGCCCCGCAATTGTTAAAGAAAATTGCATGGTGTGGTAGCAGCAAAAAAAAAAAAGCATCACAGGCTAGCAGCATGCGGTCACCATTCAAGTAGAAGCTCAACCACAGCCTCAATTTGTAGTTATTTCGTTTTGCAATCATGCTATTTATTCTTTTAATTGAGGCACTTTACAGATGAGGTATAGGACGTATTCATTGAGCTCTTGCCGCCAGGTGGCACTAGCGAGTGCGCCGCCATAGCCCTGATCCGTCAGCCATCCACCTCATGACAGCATGATATTTAGCGGCGCTTCACTTCACTAACCCGTTTATTGAGAAAAATATGAACATAACATGTGCTGCCGAGAACATTGGTTGTGGAACGACGACTATGTTCACGCGCGAGGTCACAAGTATGGCGATTGCCACGCTAGCGCACCTTGTGGATGACGTCTCGTGAATACCTATATATTGGGCAGGCCATTTGAGGTGAAAATTTGCCAAGCCTTATAGTGCCACTCACCCACAATGACCACGAACTAAGCCACTATGCTATATTAAAAGCTATGCATGCAATCAGAACTGAATGTAAACTTTTCAGCAAAGCTTTGTCTGGCTGAATTAAATGATTCTAATGGCTGAAGTGGCTCAAACCAAAGCTTTTGAAATAAATTCAATGTCTTGAGGCCTGTTCAGTCCCTTCCTCAGGGGGGTCACTGTATAGAATGCAGGCATGGTGTCACTTTTTATTGAGGAAGACAAGGTAAGGACCAATACATTCCCCCCATGAAGATGGGACCAAACAGGCACCTAGATGTCAGGTTCAATTCAAAAACTTTGGCTGGAACTATTCCAGCTTCTAGAATAATAATCAGGCATTTGCTTTGTAGGCAAACAGAAGCTTGCGGATGGAAGGGCTGTTAATTTTTCTTAGAAGAAAAGCTTATAAATGCCACTTATTGTGAATAAAAAGGTTACCAATTGCAATGTCACAAAGATATGACATACACCTGCTTCAATGCAATTCCAGTCATAGGACAGATCATCACACTGCAGTCAAATATGCTCTGTAACCAGTGGGTGGGTAACTGAGGTCAGCAAATGAAGGGACTTTGTAAACAGAAAGATAAGCAGGCAAAATGTCAGTCATGAGGCTCTGTATTTTGTGCACCAGCAACATCCCCACAGCCTTGCTGTCAAATATAACGAAGAAGAATGGCTATTTGGGCTAGTTGGTTATATTCCATTGTAATAAGGGTTGCCGCTACAACCTTGCCTTCTTTTTGCCTTTCTTCCGGCACTTTCGAGCTTGCGCTGCAACCTTTATTACACTTTCAAATATAACTTACACTGCTCAGTGCAGGCATAGCCTTCAAAGGGGCTCTGCAGCAGTTTTTCAAGTAACCATTAAATGGCTACATTGAAAAAGGTAACTGCCTCGCGAGTTGAACGTCACAAGTATTTTTATTACCCGTCAATTACAAACAGAGTGACAGCTTCAAGTGCTTTCTCTCTCCTTTCGTATGAGCGAGCATGCCGAAAGCTACGCATGGGGCAATGACAAAGGGGCAAGAAGATGCGTGCATTCATCAGCACAGGACCTGGTGCACTTTTTTCTTTCTTCGAGAGCATGGCTTACCTTACACTTGATTGCAAGCAACACATGCACGTGACAGCATCTTGCGATGGCTGCGGTAACTATGCACTCCTGATGCTCAAATCAACCAATGGCCGTGCATAGAGTTTCCTAAATATTCACTAGAAGGAACTCTGGCACTAGTGTATACCGGAGCTGCAACACACGGCGCTTCAGCGAGCGTGGGAATCATGGGTAGAACATGTATTTGTCTAATCTTTATAATTCTGGCTCCATGTGTGTTCGTGTGGCTCGAAGCTATTTTTTCACAAAACAAAAATCGGCAAACGTTCAGTGGTTGCGCTTCACCACCTTATTCTTTTAGGCTTGCCTTTTCAAATCAGGTCACAAAGTTCAAAAGGTTCAGTCTTTCCTTCGAAACAAAACTGAAACACGGCAATAAACAAAGCTACAAGTACGATTAGCCGCCCGCATGTAAGAAGACTAGGCAAATCCGTGTACTACCCATCGTTTCCACGGTCGCTGAACGATCGCAGTGCCAGAGTCTCCTCTAGTTAATTTTAGGAAACTCTATGTGGCCATGGACTTTCGGTTTGAGGCACAGTCATGTAAGTTTATTAGCATTATTCACCGAAAGAAGAGTGAACGATTTTTAGCCGACTGAGAATCAATTGTAAATTCCACGCCACGTGCTGCAAAATAATGTCTGGCTCATGTGTTCTCGGAAGCCCCGACTTCAGAGTGGCAGTGTTTTCTCACCAAGCTGAAAAATTGTCACAATTCCCCTTCAACAGTACCCCAACACATAAAGCTATGCGTCTGTAGAGGAATACAATTCATATACAACTCATATAAGAAGCCAAAGCAACGCATGGTAGCATAGCGAATTTGGACAGGCAACGCCAACTTTGGTAGAAAAGTAGAAAACGGGGATGTATATCACGCGTACTCCCTTCCTGCCAATGTGCTGTCGCTCACTTACATGCTCGTGCAGAAAGCGCGCGGTGCGTTTGAGTGACCTCGCAATGTACCGCCTGCAGTGGGGCTTCATCAAGTTCTTTGAGCTGGACAAGCACATCCGAGAAGCGAATCTAACAGGAGTAAAGCTCGTTACTCAAGTTCATGACGTGGTGCAGACGACTGAAAACGAGGACGCCCGAGTCACTGCGAAATGCATTTCTCAGGTCCTTAGGAAAGTAAGTCTCATTCTGCCGACATGAAGCCGTGTACTCTATTGATGTGCTGTGTTGACGTTTACGGAAACAATATAATTGTTTGGATGGGTATCTAGCAGTAGCAGCCGTGTACCTCATGTGCAAAAGTTTGCGGCGTGCTAAAAAAGTAAATAAAAACTAAAGTTATACGGTCATGGCATTACAATGCCCGAGAGGTTTTAGAGTCATGTCCTCCGTGCCGTGGCAGCGTGACCCGCTGACGTCACCGCAAAGCAGCAAGCTGAAGTTTAACTACAGCAAGTCAAGTTGAAGTGCTTGCCTCGTGTTTTTTTGTTTGTTTTTTTTCAGCTCTCATGTCATGCTTGCTCTATCTTTCGCCAACGCGGTTGTGTTCGCCACCTGTGACTTGCTGGGAAATTGATACAGCTTTACACGTGGAGAGCGTCCCTTGATGTTCGACCTCGCCCACGCCTCCGTGGGGCTACTTCTTCCATCCCGAAAAAGGCAACTTCGCACAGCGAATGTCTCGTTTCAGCGCCCCAAGCTGATGGTACGGCGCCTAAAAGTTCCCCGCACCGACTGCAGAATGCGTTGAGCACGTGTCGAACGCGGTCCCGTTCCGGCAAAACACACCAATTCGTTTGCAACCTCTTCCGCGTCTCTCCTCAAGTTTTCCGGAGCTCACCACCAGGGCCAGGCGCAGCATTGTCGTCGCTTCGCAAACTTGAGCTTTGGTCCCTGTACTGGTGACATGGCTACACATATTTTTCTGAAATTGCTATAAAGAATGTCTAATACTATACAATTTATATTAGAGTTGTCTTTCATTTGTTTTCAAAATTACAATTGTTGACCCCCCCCCCCCCCCCAACTCTTCTTTTTATAACAAGGAAAGACAAATGATTATCCTACAACGTGAAATTTTCAGATAAACCGGTAAAACGGTGTTCTTGGACGCATGCATAGGTTATGACGGCAATTATTGCCCAACTGCCCGGTTTTTTTTAAACTTTGGTGAGTACATGCTCAGTGGCAACTAGTGCATTTGCATGCCAAGATGCGCATGCCTCCTTTGGTTCCTTGTTCAGAGTTCACGCAGTATTGAGTCAACTTTGGGCTAACTGGTAATGCTCCTCTGTGCATGGCACAGCTGCAAATGAAAGGGCAGAAAATGTAGTGTTTTTGTCTTTTTGCGTATTGCCGTATTCTTGTGCTCTTCCCAGCATGGAATTTGTTTAGTGCCATTCGTCTATACTGGTGGGTAAATTATAACATCATTAAATGCTGCTTGATTCCATTATCAACATCACTACAAAAACTAGAGTTGAGCACCTTGACTACTGCACCAGACTGTATGATATATATAAATATTATTAGCCAAAACAATGCCAATGTATGCGTTCATTTTGTTTTTTAGCACATAATGCTCCACTGTTATTTCTTTTTCATTCTGCGCTTCCGCATGCCACGCTTCATGTTTGAACTAAATTTAACGCATGCTAGTCTGCATTTCAGTAGTTTGAAGTTGCACTGCTTAACAAAAGCTTGAATACGATTGCCGAGTCGTATTCTCTACGACTGACAGACGACTGCAGTCGCCGCCATTCGAACTTCACATTGCTATTGAAACCTTCACGTCACTAATTACGCTCACACTGCCGTTCAAGTAACATGACGCAAATAGAACTTGTAAACATTGAACCACAGCGCACAGCTGTGAGAGTGGGCGGTGGTTGACTGCACGAAGTCGGCGCAACTGTTATAGATGCTGCATGAATGCACAATCAGGAAGCGATGATTGGGGCTATTAAAACTTACCAACGCAAAGGTAGCCGCTAATGAGCGGCCCATCGAATTCGGACACACACACAGTCATGCCAGTTTTTGTAGACTTGAACTTCACCAGCGGCAGGTCACCGTCGGTGCGGGCGACACATATTTCCTGAAAATTGCTCATAACGTCTTTCTGGGACGATTGCGCAGCCCAGGTTTTTAACAGTGGGACCGCGGTGTTCGATTTTGAGGCCGCCGTGGCTGAAGGAAACGGCCGCTCTTGCAGCCAACACGTGCGAGGATTTCACGAGAATGAAAAGACCGTCGCACCAGGCCCACGCCCGGAAACTCTCAAGTTCCCGCGATGGCCGTCGAGGGCGCAAAAATTAACCACGGCAAGTTTCGTGTTTTGTGGTTTCGTCATATGCGTGTATAGTGGAACTACTAACTCTCTTTTTAGCAGTCGGATGAGTTTGTGTGCATTATTTCTGTTAATGGCACTCAACGCGGCTAAAAATTTTATTTCAGGACGTTACTACGTCGTTTTTCATAAAAAAATTGAATAAAATATTTTTGTAATATTTTTACTAATTATACTAGAGCGGTGTTTGTTTTAGTTCAAGAATTCAGATTATCTTGACGTTTGAAAAGCAACAGCTCACTGGGAATGATAGCGTTTCTGTGGGTTAATTTGTTCAAATTGTCCGCGGTACTTTTCGTCGATCGGCATTGCATAGCTGCGTTTCAATTCAGCTTTGATAGATCAATGCGCGCTGGTGTGTCAGACTTTACGGGCCACTACGACGAAGCGAACGTGCCTAGAGGCTGCGAACCGTGTCAGCTGCTGTGCTTCACCGACGTCCGGCTGCGCAGCTTCCAGCGTCAAAATTCAACGCGCTGGCAAATCGATCGGAGACTGCCTACGACGACGGAATAATCTTGCACAGTGTGGGCGTGTTCTCCGGTGAATGAAAATGCAATGCTTTGCATCTGAGCATGGCCTTTTTCTTTTGCATGCGTTAGAGTTTTCGTCATTTCATAAGGCTATTCGACTTGAACAGCTAATGAGATGCGCACCCTGTGAATGTTTGAGATTGTTTACTTCGTTGTCACATTCGCTGAAAATACCTTTACGGCTAAAATTTGTAGCACAGACCACAGCATAAGTTTTACCTGTTTCTGCTCAAAATGAGTCTGCTGCAATATATGCTCATAAATTCAATACGTAGTAAAGTCAAGTGAACCATTAGTGCATGTACGCGTTTGTATATTTCTCGTAAGTTTACAATGAAGCATATTTCATTTGCATGAACCATATAGTCCATCCAGTTGGGGAATCACCTAACTTTGTCCTCTGAAGAACGTCACTAAAACAAATTAATTATAATGCCATCCACAAGACAAATTCACAAAAACAGTAATGTTATGTCCATACTACCTTTCTTATATGCAGTGTTCTCATATACATTCTTCTTAGTCATGCATTACAAATCCATTCATGCTTCTACGAGAGTAACCATGGACTTTTTTTTTTCTTCTTCCAACCCAACCACAGCCTCCAAGGAACTTCTCATATCAGGCGCTCTCCTTACGCCTCCTTTTCTGCGACGACATCACGGTTTCGTGAAGAAACACAAGCGTGGACAATCCCCACAGAAAATAAACAAGGCAAAGACAGGCGGAGATATGCGCTATGTGCGCAACAGCATAAATGCCCCTCAACTCCACCGCAACCGACTGGGTTTACGAACGCGCATCCGAAGTGCATCTAAAGCGCATGCAACGCGCGTGCGACGCGCGCTCTCGCAAAGTGCGAGTGACAGAGCGGTAGCGGTCGCCGCGATGAGCGGTGGGAGGAGGGACGGAGGACCGAACACGGCCCTTACTTATTAGGCACGCGGGGTACACCTCAAGGGGCAGTCCTGTCTCCTCTGCTTTTTAACCTGGCGATGATGAACCTCCCCTCTCTTCTAAGCGAGGTCGAGGGAATACAACACGCACTATATGCGGACGATATCACAATCTGGACCAACACCGGCTCCTTAGCGCAAATCGAAGAACGCCTGCAAAAGGCTGCCCTTCTGGTGGACACCTACGCAGGTTCATGCGGCCTGGAGTGCTCTCCAGCTAAATCGGCTCTTCTTTCAGTCTCTCCGCTACCGCCGCCTCAAATTTTTCTTCCGTCCGGGCCCGTCCCGTCAGTGCAAAATATTCGGGTTCTTGGCCTTCACCTCACATCGTCTTTGGATTCAAAGGGCACAATAGCAGGCCTCAGACGCACCAGCGAACAGGTGAGCCGCATGATACGGCGAGTGTCTACCAAGCGCGGCGGCCTCCGCGGGTCTCAGTCCCTCCGATTGGCCCACGCGTTTGTGACCAGTCGCGTCCTCTACGCCTTGCCTTACCTTCGCCTGCGTCGTCGACACGAGCACCAGCTGGACGTCCTTCTTCGTTCAGTATACAAACGCGCTCTGGACCTACCTATTGCAACTTCCAACAGCCGATTCACGGCTCTGGGGGTACACAACACCTTTGCAGAGATGCGCGAAGCTCATCGCGTTAACCAAATCAATCGACTGTCGCAGACGCCTTCAGGGCGCCGTCTTCTACACAGACTTGGCCTTAACGCGATATCTGACCAAGACCCTCTGGAGCCGGTACCAGAGCTCTGGCGTCAAAAGCTATGGGTGGAACCTCTACCCCGTAATATGAACCCCGACCTCCATCCTGGCCGTAGACTAGCACGCGCCGCGGCCCTTCATACGCGACACTCCGATCGTCCTGGTGTTTTCTACGTGGACGTCTCGGGCCCCTCCCCCTCGGGTCACTTCACGGCTGCCGTGATTACAGAGGGCAAACACGTAGATGGCCTCTCCTTTCGAGCAGACACAGTAACGCACGCTGAAGAGGTTGCCATAGCTTTGGCCGCCTCTCACCCTGCTTCACGCACCATCCTGACGGACTCGCGCTCGGCCTGTTCTCAGTGCCTTCAGGGTTCCATTGCCCCGCTGGCGGCTAGCCTACTACAGGCAGCCTCTTGGCGCTTTAACCCTCATCCCATTCGTATAGTCTGGACCCCAGGCCACTCGGGCCTGCCCGGCAACGAGGCGGCAAATGCCGCTGCCCGCGCTTCTCCTGTCCGGGCCGTTGCCCCTCCATGTCCCGAGACGGAATCTGGCAATACCAACCTGACGCGCTTTCGCGAAATTTTGGCTTATTACCGGGCTTCGCGCCGCCTCTACCCGGACCCCGCACGCGGTTTGGAGAAAGCGGCTGAACGACTGCTACGCCGCCTGCAGACGAACACCTTTATCAGTCCGGCGGTCGCCAGGCACTTTTTGCCGGAAATCAATGGCACCTGCTCGACCTGTCATGTCCTCGCCGACACATATCACGTCGTAGCATCGTGCCCAGTTAATCCCGTCCCTTTCTCATCCCCTTTTCCTATCCCAACTAGAGAGCTTTCCTATCCCAACTGACGCTACATTGCGGATTATAACAAAGTATACCTGTCACAATTCTGGCAGCGCTATGCAAAGCGTGTATTGGCACTGAAAACTAGCGTTTTCAATTCACTTTGCAGTATATCAGCTACGAAGCTTAGAAGATAGAGAACCAAGTGACTTGCCGGGAGCGTGACACCAAAACAAAGTCCGTGCACTTTTCGAATTTGATGCCGCAGTGTTCTCCGTGAAGTTTCAATGTACGTAAAGGTATCGGCAACCGTTATCTTTATGACTTGCGCAATCAAGGTTTAATTTTACAAGCAAGACATTCATTCTCTCGAAAGTGAAAAACAACATAAAAAATAAACACAATATATGCATTAAGCTTGCAGAAAACTGCAAGTTATATGAAACTCAGCTAAAGCAAGTGAATAATGCAACAAAAGAGAACAGTAAGTATACGATGATACAATGGGCATACATACACACATGGCATTTAGGTTTGATTGGCAAACATTGATACAGTCACAAACCAGTTCACGAAAAATTGATTTCTGCGTATGTGAAACACAGCCAGACAGTGACATCACAGTTGTTAATGGGAGATTTATAGCAATGTGAACAAGACAATTGTAAAAACACAAGAAACAACTGATTGTGACGTAAAAGAAGACATTCTTCACTGAGTTAACACTATGACAATTAAATCATACGTCTCAACTTCAAGAACTTCATTTTTTTTTCCTCTATCTCTCTCTTTAATTAGACGCATTTTGTCTAGCAACGAGAAAATGCATTCCGGTCAGCGTAAGAATCTAATTATCTGATTTGTCACTTCCTGTTTGTGGTGTTCACAGCCGACTATATTTAACCTTTTCACAGACGAGCAAGAGATAAGCTCTGTTATGCTGTCACTTTTCAGCTTGTTGAAAGTGAAGTAATATGTGAATGCATCTTCCATAGAGTTCTGAACAGGTCTCGCCCCGCCGCGGTGGTCTAGTGGCTTATGTATATACTCGGCTGCTGACCCGCAGGTCGCGGGATCGAATCCCGGCTGTGGCGGCTGCATTTACGATGGAGGCGAAAATATTGTAGGCCCATGTGCTCAGATTTGGGTGCACGTTAAAGAACCCTAGGTGGTCGAAATTTTCGGAGCTCTCTACTACGGCGTCCCTCATAATCATATGATGGTTTTGGGACGTCAAACCCAGAAATGAACCAGTCAGATCTGTTAAGGACTCGGACGGGCACAGAAGGCGTGATTTTGCCGGAAGCAAGCTGGAATTTTCAGAGGGAAGCAACAACCTACTACATTCGTTACAATTCGTCTTTCTCACCACTTTCCGGGTCACATATCCACTAACGTAATAAGTGATCCGGGAGCCACTTTTGCGTCCCATGAGATCAGTGTGGTCAGGGAGGGCTTCACACGCAGCTATAATTTCATGAACCTAATTGAGGCGCCCCACATCTAGCAGCTCATCCAGCTCATTCTGCAATGTTATTGAATTATTGTGGATGCCCGGACATTAAAGGCTACTCGGAACTCCAGAACGTATGTTTCCACTGGAGGGTGACTGTGCCAAACTGTAAAAACTGAGGCGATTCACATAGATAAAAAATTATGTCGGTGAAGGGTGCTAATACGAGCTAGACATTCGCTTGAGAATTCCAAAAAAAAAAAAAAAAGATTATAAGTGCGTCTTGGCAGAGGCGAGACGTCATCAAGTATTTATGGCCCAAGGTTTTCGTGACATAGTGCCGGATAGAAAGGGTGTTTGTTAGAGTGACGTGGAATCCTTCGGCAGTTGATTCACTCAGAACCCACCGAGCTCTTTAGGCACAGCTTTTTTCCAAGTTGCTAAGAACCCGTTGATAACATGCTTGTAGCAACGAACGATGATT